AAAACAGTGAAACATAATCATCCAAATGAACATTTCAGTTGATCTGGGAAATATTTGGTGCACCTCTTTCCATCCAGAATCCTGGACTAGAACAATACATTATATAATACAGATAATATATTTTAAAAAAAAAAAAACATAAAATACAGCAGTCTTTAATTGCTGCTTCTTTTCACAGATCAGTCCAATTCAGGAACAAATCATTCAGACCAGTTTTGTGAGCTATAACAACCAATGCAGCAAAAAGATTAAACTTAAAATAACTCTACATACTTCTCTCGTAAATGTGCAAATGAGAGCTAGATCATTTTCATTTTGTTCGGTTATTTTTATATATCGCACTTAAGCCACATGGGTCACTTTTATGATATAAGGTGTTTTTTGTTGTTGTTGTTGTTATTGTTGTTTTCATAATTTCAGAGCTTGACAGCTTCAGTCGTAATTCATTTTTATAATGAAAAAGTGACCAGGATATTCTTCCAAAAATCAAGAAAGCTTAGTCTGGTTTAGAAAAACATGAGGGTGAATGAGTAATAACAGCACTTTTGGAGGATTCACTATCCCTTTACGCTTTGTGTGAGAAAGACAATCCCTTAGTGAATCTTCAGAACAAGACAACAGTTGGTCCTTTGCAGAAAGTTGCTTGTGTGTGGAAAATTGTAGAGTGGACAACAGTCCAACCTTGTTCCACGGGCCATTCATGAGACCAAAGTAACCCTTCAAGAAACTTAGCAGCTGCTAAACAAGCTTAACGTTACCTTCACAAATCGACCCCATAGCCGAATAATCTACTTATTTACTCGGGATGACTATAGCAACGGAAAGGCGCTTTATGTCATTAGATGTTGACCCGACACATATTCAGGACAAAAGTAAACAGAATTAGCCTAGATAAAGTATAAAAGTGACTAAAAAGCAGCCAGACTATAGCCTACAGAGGAGCGAATAAAGTGTAAAACTTAATCGAAGGGCAAATGGTTTCCAGAAAATAATGATCAGTATCAGTGTTATCAGCGTTATCACTATTATCAGATAACTGTATCAGTAACTGATGTGTGGTCAGATTCAGATATTTTAATATAAGAACCCTGGACGACGCTGAAGTAATGGACCCTGCCTATTTGTTATATTATCAGGTCTAACGTTACTTACCCAAATTGTGTCTCAGAGAGGCGTCAGTGCAAATCTGTGGCTGTTCCTTAACTCCAAGAGCAAAGAAATGTTAGCTCCAGCATTCCTGTGAATCAAGCCTACGCGTGTCTTCCGTTATCCACCAACTGGCACCAAATACAACAAAGTTTTGTGTTGATAAACAGCCCGCCACGCTGAGATAGTTGACTGTCCTGCAGACTACATTAAATGCGATCTTACTCGTTTAAGAAGTTCCTCGCGTCTGCCTGCTAAGACAATCCATCTGTCCCAACCCCCATCGATTACTGTACCCCCGTCTGTCAGCTCTCTGTGCGTGCACGCGCGGCGCGCTCTCTTCACTCCGTAGGGAGAGTGTAACTTTATCCTGTCTGCTGCAACATCTTAATAATACCATACTACATTTCAGTGCTTTTGTTGCAACACTGCAGAAATAAAAGTGACAGTTGTGCTAGAACCATCATTTATTCATTAATTGAATCCACTTATTAATGACACATGGTTCCTTGAAGATTCTTTAACATCCATGGAACCTTTCAATTTCACAAAAGTTTTTTCTTACGGTAAAAAAGCTTCTTTCGATATTTAAAATGTTATTCACACTAAGAATGGTTCTTTTAACTGTTCACTGAAAGGTTCTTTGGGGAACCAAAAATGGTTCTTGCAAAAATATATTTTTAAGAGTGTATGTATCTATATGTGGGCCTTTAAATATAAATAAGGACGTGACCAAAATTTCGGTTTACAATTAAACGTTTAAAATAAAAATTAAATTAAAGACTTAAAATTTTATTATAAATTTGTGTAAAATTTCAAGATAAAATTCATGAATTACGTAGCTATTATTTTAGGTTAAAAGAGTAAGTAAGTTAGGAAGTGTATCTTGTCAATATCTCCATAAAGCTTAATCACATTTTACCCTCACTAGTTCATTTTAAATCAACCTGTTATGTGACAAATACTTTTTTTAATGTTCTTATATTCAGTTTTCTTTGAATTCATTCTTAAGTCATGTAAATTGATATCAAAAGGCCTTATATGCCTAGTATTACTTTTTGCCATATTTTATAAAGTCAATAAATGTGCAATAAATGTGTGATCTGTTGCTTATGACACTGAAGAACTGACAACTCCAAGGTTTTATGTGTCACTGTACACCCAAACTATGCGACCCCCATCTGTTTCACTCACATACAATATCCAAAGCCAAACAAAAGCCCCATTCATCTCTGAGCTCTTGCTCCGCCAGCTGATACTGAATAATGAACCTCAAGGGGAATCTGGGGATCACAAGGCTCACCGTTTTCATCGTCTGAAATCAGACTGAGCCTGGTCACTGAAACCCAGTCTTTTCAGTAATTTGTATATGAATAATGCTTGGCCAATGTTTTGAGTATGGGCCTCACAAGCTTAAAGACAAAAAGATGAAAGTCTTTATAAGCAAAACTTAGCAACCTTGTTCCTTCAACAAAAGGGCCAGTTGGAAGATAAATGTTGGCCATCCCAATCCTGTTTTGTCTTGTTGAAATGGTCAGTTGCCACCTGGATGCATGGTGAACAAGAGTGGGTGCAGATCATTTGTCAAGGACGTGTCCAAACACACCGGTGGCCCTAATGAACCACATGTTGGGCGAAACAGCTGGAACCCTAACTCATTCCATCTAAAATTATATTGTCATTTGGTGATGATTGACGATGACAAGAAAAAATGCCTGTTTTCCATTACCGCAATTGTGACTCGCGTCTTGAACATATGGATCCTTTTTAATTTTCAGGAATGTAAAACGAGGCGTTGAGAGATACTAGGCTACTGTCAATTCTTTTGTTGTAGGTCTATACAGTCCTACATAAAATTTTCATTACATGGTTTCCAGATTTAATGATTATTATTATTATTTAGCCTATTTATTTCATTTCCAGTAAACAGGGTTTTTTTTGTGTGGAATATATAGCCTTTGTCAATGCTGCATCAGATTAATGATTGACATCCAGCTATAGGTCGACAACATCACTTAAATATGCGTCCAGCTGAATACTGTCTGTTCACTTTCAAACTCCAATGCCTGCTCTAATCCCAAACCTGCTTAAATCACACTTTAGGGAAGAGTGGGGGCAATTTGCCTTGACAATTTTTTTCTTCCAAACCTAGTCTGTGGGGTAAAAACGCACCCATCCACTTGGGGTAGTCGCTTCCCACTATCATAATTACTGCAATTACAATGTTCTAAACATCACATCCGTTGTTTACATTAAATGTAATCTAACTAGGTGGTTGAATACAAATATTTGGACTTACATTTCAAAATTACCTCAAGACAAGTTAGCATCAGCTAGCTAGCCAGTTTGCATCAGCTAACAATATTTTTTCAAATAGGCTGATTTTCAGCTTTCATTAATACATATTCATATTTATCTACAGTTATTTTGGCTTGTCTTTTAAATTTTAATCTAAAACTAGCCTACTTGTACTATGATTTTGCTGTAAATGTATAAAACAAATTGCTTTGTCAGAGTGGGGGGATTTTACCCCACCTGTGGGCCAAGGGCAAAACGGTAGCAACAAATTAATTGTTAAAAATATAATAACATGAAAACTTTGGACATTTTTAATACTTGGTTTATAATTAATGTCACTGTCACTAAAAACATAACTATTCTAGACAAAAACTTTTGTTTCACAGAAAAATTACACAGTCCTTAAAGGGGGCGTTTTCCCACACTCTAACTAGGCTAGAACGCTTAATATATGAAGACCTCCGATGTAAACGCCTCTAAAAGCCAAAAGCCTCTACGTTCATCAAATACTTTCACTTCAAACTCACTAAATCTCAGCCTCAGCCAATTCAGAAATGCTGGTGCTTGGGTAGAAACCTTAGGAGCCTGATAAAAATGTTAATATTAAACAAGAATTTTAGACAGACTTAAGTAGACAGAAATAAGTAGCCTATGTTTTATAGAGATATTATCTTTAGATGTATGTAACAGTCAAGGGAGATGGGTGATAATAATCCAGTAGGGGGCAGTTATCTTAATTACTTTAACATGACTAGTAACTCAGTGACATAGCATGTGACTAGTAAATAGTGGCATCTAGAGGCTGTACCCAGATAGCACACGTACATCACGGAGACGTCTAGTTGATGTGTGTTTACATCTGGAAGACGTATTTTTTAGAGTGTTTGCTCATCTGCAATACGTCTATAGGACGTTTCCTGTCAGATGTCAAATAGACGTTTAGAAGATGTCTATAAGATGTAATGATTTAGAATGTATGTTAAACTGACATCTTAAAGATGTCTATCAGATGTTAGTAAACAGCAGATGCTTTCCAGATGAAGTGATCTTTAACAGACATCTTGCAGACGTGCGTGTGCTATCTAATTGCACCATTTTCTCACATTATGGAAGAATACTGTTTGCCTTAAAGGGTAGTTCACCCAAAAATGAAAGATCCGTCATCATTAACTCACCCTCCAAACCTGTTCTTTAAAGATATTTTTGAAGAATGTTGGGAACCAGACAGCTGACGGAAGTCACTTACTTCCATAGTAGGAAAAAAAAATACGGAAGTTAGCCGAAAAAGTGTGTTCTCATTTTTGATTGTATTGAATTGAAAGCAAAGTAACATTATATAAGATGTAGTAGATCAAATTGTTTAAGTTAAAATTACTGGCATAATAAGTGAAAATACAATGGGATGTACAAAATATTGTAATTTGAGTACATTAATTTAGAAGTAAATGCCTGTGATGCTGTTTGTAAAAATAAAAATAAAATAATTTAAAAAATCTAAATTCTAACAGTTTTTGTTTGTCACTGGGATAACAGATAAAAAAACACACGCACACACAGACTGATCGTCTATTTTATTATTTTAAAATCACCTTTATCATAATCATCATCATTTTCAAATGTTTTGAGAGTATAAAAACAATACACAGTTCTGATTTTTCATAAAAGGAAATCAGTTTTAACTGCTTCAATATGAGGTACTAGTCAGACTCCTCACTTCTTGTAATATACAAGGATGGAGTATTTTTCACAAATGATCTTGTCCATTCTACCCTTTCTGAGTCGCTATTAGTGTTTTGCATTTAAGGTAGAGAAATATGCATAATTTCAACAAACCCCTTTTACTATATGTACAAAATACACCACATCTAAAACCCAGCTAGTAAAAATATAATTGTTAAAAAAATGAAAACCAAAGTAAGGTAATCTAAACTTTGCCTGTAATGTAGCAATACTAGTATATACAGTCAATGAGGGCAGCTTTGGTGTCATTTATGATCATACCCTAAAAGCATGCACATAACATAATTTGCTTCTAAGCATGCAGTACAGTGCTTTAAATGATACCACACATCCCCATGGGACTTTGTAACCCAATATGACGCACCCCTCCGAATGGAAAGGACTACAACTTCTCAAGAGATCAAATGTAATGGAAACTATTAGGTAGAGGAGGGCAGGCCAAGAAGGCCAAGGGGAGGGCAAATGGGGGGGGTGCTAGATTCATTTACCAGGGCCTCCACATGGAAGGATCGGCCCCTAGAAAGAAATGGGGAAGGGCCAATTGTGCTGGAGACTGAGGGGAAGGAGACCTGTGGGGAGAGGGCTGTTCTCGGGGTCTCTCTCTAATCAGTGGGACTCTGGGCGAGTGAGTGGGACTGGAGGGTGGGGAAGGAGATGGAGGGGATGGAGGGGTGTGCAGGTGGAGAGGGTGAGCCTGTAAGGAAGGCAGGTTTAAAGGGGAATGGGTCGGGGACAGAGGAACTGGGCTCGGGGTGCCAACAGAACTTGTGCTACCAGCCTCAGTGCTTATATGGGGAAGAGATTTCAGCAAGTGGTTTAGCAGACGCGCACCCAGAGTCTTGTCCATCCCAGGGCAGCTCAGGAGCAGGTTGTGCACCTCATGCATGCATTGAATGTACCCGCTACCGTATCTTTGTCGAGACTCAAACCCAGTGCCTGGACTGTGACTACCACCTGAAAATCAAAGCAAAATAGAAGCATGGGAGTGATTTTACCCAATGTAATCATAATAAAATCGTGCACACAGTTTCCTTTGAGAAAAAGAATCATCTAAAGTCTTTATTCAGAGGCAATAAAAATACAAAAGTGCTCAGTGCATAGCAAAAAAAAAAAAGTGCACAGTGCAAAGGCAAACCATTTACTCCCCTCAAATCATCATCAGTACACATAGATTTACATATCTATGCCCCTGATCTTGTTTATAGATCTTTTACCATACTTTTAAAACTAAATTCTTAAAACTAACAATTATTCTAATACATGTACATTGAAGTCAATCGGGGAAAAAATATAGTTGTATACTTTAATAATATGATGTATATAATTTATTTTTTTATGTAAACAATCATACATTTCCCCTTAAAGATCAGTAGAGTTTGTTTATATGTTTAAAAATAATATTAACTTAAAATGTACGGGGTGGAAAAAGTAGGCTACAATGGTTTTAGCCCAGAAAGTCTGCCTAACCTGGTCCGTGACCTCTTTGTAGGTTCTCCATGTGCTGAACTGTTATCTCAAGAACATCAGCCTTCTCCAATTTAGATTGCTGTGGGAAAAGTTAAAGGAAAAATGCCATTTAAATGAATTTATTTTCTTTTTTTATTATTATAAATGTATTAAAATGATTTGAATTATATTGGTGCAAATAGATTTAAAATATAAAGAGTGTTCATATTTTAAAGATATTTATTTGGGTCACTTACATCCAAATTGTAGGCATCCACCATTATACCCTTTAGTTGCTCAAGGCTTGAGTTTATCCTCTCTCTGCGTCTTTTCTCTATCAAGGGTTTCCGCAGCTAAAATTTTAAACAAGCTGGTGTTAGTGTGTATGAAATATTCATTTGACATCCTCAAGGGATTAATTCACTACCAATTTGACAATACAAGACTCACAATACACATGCCAATTCTGTAAGGTAGATGTCTGAAGTGTGAAATATTCTCTGGACATCCCAAATGAGTTCATTAAATGAGATTATTTAACATAAACTACTGTAAAGTCTTGACTAAAGTTATTCAGTCATGTCAGTAGTTATTTAAGATTCAATACTTAATCACTGTCAAACTCTTACAGCAGTAGCCTACTTGAAATGTATCAACTGATTTCAGCCAATCAGAGCAAATCATTTAAAGAAGACTACATGACAACAAAAAACATGCTAATTGCAATATCTTTTCAAGTGTAAGGTTTACATATTCATTAGGAACTACTCAACATCTAGATACTAAACAATGTTTAGATTTGCAAAACAATATAATTGTTTTATGAAATAGCCCATTTAGTGGACTAAGTGCTACTGCTATTTCTGACATTTAGTCTTATGTTTTTCTATTCAATATAAAATTATCAGAGGACACTCGAACAGCACGTCTGGAATATGTGTATATAGATAACTTTTTTAAGCTGCTCTATAAGGTTGTCTAAAAATGTCCCTATTTCATGTTCAGTTATTTATACGCTTTCTACTTCTATACCCTATGAACAAATGTAGGCCTTCATATTTTGCCATAGTTGCATACATCACAAAACAACACAAAATGACGACAGCGTCGTCACATAGCCTACCTTTCGCTCTTCTTTTGCGTTGAAATTCTTCTCCGGGCCATTGCCGATATTGGAGGCCGTCATTATTCTGCACTTCTAGTTAAAAATAAGAAACTTTTTTGCTTTCCCACGACTATTTCTGAAAGTTTGCGGTGGCGTAGGCTTGATAAAACTAGCTCACTTAACCTCGTTTAACATGTAGGCCTACTCGCACTCCCCCTCAAACCTCCACCCACCGAAATTACCATGACAATACATGGGTGCTTTTTGCTGCACAATTTCCCACAGTCTCGGGTTCGGCCTATTAAATAGAACGAATCCCACGTTCCACGCATAGTGCTGGAGCACTGAGATGAAGCACAGAGTTCAAAAGTTTGATTTCACAAGTGACTCGCTTTCAGAAATAGTTACACGCATTTGACTCAACAGGAAAAAAAATGAAAGTGGCTCTCTTATTTAGGGACAATAGGAAAAATTAAAATTATAAAAATTACATTAGTATGGTATGTGGATTCATAAAAATAGTTTATTATCCTCTTAAATTCTGTCCTTTAACCTGTTATAGAGCATATAGGTAAGGACATTAAATGCATCACGTTGCATTTAAAAACATATATTTCACTATTGAATTTTAGATGCAATGTTATTCAATATGTAAACAAAAACAAGAATGGGGTATCCGCTACCCCAACAAGAGGATGGTAAAGGTTGGAGGATGGTAACGCGCAACAATAGCAAAGAAATCTTAGTTTTTAAGTGTTTTCACAGTGGAAGAACTATTATCTCCTAGTTTCCCACCCCTTCCTCCACAGCGCGCGACCCATCCCCTCTACCCCTTCACCATTGTTCTTTTCACCTATGGGACGGGCACACTCCACTGAGGCACGCCAAGATCTCTTTTTCTGCTGTTGTCCGGCCATAATGACCCACAGTCAACGGAATAATAGACAGGGTGCCAAATCTCTAATGGCCATCTTAAACTCTTCAGCAGCCCAGAAAAAACACAGCGCCCACGGAAAGACTGATTCGATTAAATAGGAGAATTGGTTGTGATCAATTGACAGTTTGCTGTCACCAACCAAAAACGTGTAAAATTAAACATTAGTCCTAGAATGTTTGTTTGCTTGTGAACGGAAACGTTTTTGGGAAATAAAAAAGCCTATAGACATATAGTTTCAAAAAGTAAAAATTTACACCCTAAATGAATAGTCTAACATTTAAATAGGCTACCGCTACATGAAAAAAAAAATGTAAACGTCAATTTTTAAAGACAAATCAGTTTATTCAAAGCTTCAAACTTTGGCTTCCAGTGGCTCACGGAACCATTAAACACTCATATTGCGGATTTTCTTATAATCATGACCTCATAGGTTTTTCACAGCAACACACATTTTGAGGTCTGCAACATTTGCTATAGGCCTAAGCCAACTAACACTGTACAGGTATAGGCCTAGGCTAAGTAAGCCACTGTAAAGTTTTCATTCCTGAATAATTGGTTTCGTGTTTATAGTCTATTTGGGGAAAATTAAGATTTATTTGAAGGCAATGTTCTTATCAGAATATCGACAATAAATGAACAAAAAATAATCAACATGATCATGAATAGCCGATAATAGGGCCTATGTATGTGGGCCCTTAATCGTTACTAATGCAACGTTAGTTAATTCGACAGACATCTCGACAAATGTGTTCCATAATACAAGTTACTAGTAAAATATTTGATTTAATCTACCACCAGGGGGTGCTCAATTTACAACAATGACGTTAGAGTCCAAAAAGAATGCATTCGCTGATAATGCTCCTGGCTCTGATGGGTATGGCCTCGAGAACTTCTGCATTCAGAAAGTATACAATGTATAGTTCCCATGGGCCACTTTTGGGTAAGTCAGTCAAGCACTAAGACACGTTGTGGGTATTTACATGCATCTGTATCAATATCTTGGTAACACTTTACAATAAGGTTCATTAGTAAGTAAACATTAGTTAATGGATTAACATGAACTAACAATGAGCAATACATTTGTTACAGTAGCCTATTTATTATTTTTTGTTAATGTTAGTTAATAAAAATACAGCTGTTCATTGTTTGTCAATGTTAGTTTACAGTGCATTAACTAATGTTAACAAATACAACCTTTGATTTTAATAATTTATTCGTAAATGAATTAAAAATGTATATTAAATTAATATTAACTAAGATTAATAAATGCTGAAGAAGTATTGTTCATTCTTAGTTCATGTTAAAGTTAATGTTAACTAATGAACCGTATTGTAAAATGTTACCAACATCTTTATTTATTTTGGTATCAAGATTTCATCCCTGAAAATTGGACCTATTCACTCTATAAGCGATCTAGGGTGAAATCAGGTTTTTTGGGACACTTTCCCCAGTCATCTCAATGGCAAAAAGTGTCCCAATCACCCTGAATTCACCCCAGTGCTGAATGCTGCTTGTCCAATGAAATATGCTTCTTTTATGACAAGTTTTTTTTTCTCTGCATCTCAAGAAGAAAATCACATGGATTGATAACAATAATTAAAACTGCAAAAAGAGAATAGTAACCACTTTTATTAACATATTTACACATGAGAAGATTTGCGTTATACCAAAGACTTAGCCTAAAGGAACTGGTTATACTCAGAACAAGCTAAGTGCACCAGGTCAAACGGATGTGGCAGAGAGGAGGAAGGGTGTGGAAACGTGCAGGAAAGAGGGTTTTTAACAATTTAACAATACTAATAGCAAAACTTTCTAAGCAATATATCTAAGCACATGTGTCATGTTATTTTATAGAAAAGTAACAAAATTTCAAAATTAAACACATGCTAAATTATCATGCACTTACAAGTACTTACAAATAGTAACATTTAAAAATACAACAAAAACACCACTGCTGCATTAGTACCTTACAACTAAAAGGCTATCAATCGTTAACAAAATGTAGAAACTTTACACATATGTAAATGTGGATATAATGCTCTAATCTAACTGTCTTAGAACATGTTCACTGTAAATAATTATCCTAATTTGACAATCATGTTTGATTTGAAATAACACATTACAAAGGCTTCCCAGTGAGAGTCCTTTTTGAAAACAAAACGAGTGGTTCCACATTAGTGGCTAAATGAGTCATTTACTTTCTCATAAATGCATATGTGAGAAAAAATAATGCCCTCTAATTACTTTACAGAACACTCATTTTTGCACACAGTGTGCATGCAGACAGCAACTCACCCAGATGGGTGAAAAGACTTGTGGCTTCCTTTTCTCTTTTCTTTTTTTGAGTCATCATGATATGCGAGTGATCTATCACTTATCTTTTCTTCCTATTAGCTATGATAGCGGTCATGTAAACTGTCACTAAGCAATAAGCATGAGACCTGCATGAACGTTTTTTATTTTATTTTCAGAGTTGAGTTAGGTGGCGCTTACGTTGTGAGCGGAGCACGTGAACGGTTGTTTCCGTCCGAGCTGTGACTGTTCATTTGCCATATTTTGCGTACAGCCTTAACATCCATTTTTCTTCGAAACGTCTCTGTTGTGAAGTAGTACGCCAGGGGGTCCAGCATTGCATTCAGGCAAGCTATCATGAGGCTGTACCGGTAAGCTGTTAACAGTGATGGCCTAGTCGGGGAAGGCTTATAGACATTAAGTAGCACAAGCATAACGTGATACGGCAGAAAACAGACCAGAAAGATCGCCAAGTTAGTTATTATCATCCTTTTAATCCTTCCGCTGTCTACTAGGTCACTGGTCTGAACAGCCGTGCTTTTGCTTATAGCCCGGACGAGCCCCCATGAGCTGAGAATCATAACGGTTAGTGGGATCCCAAACCCAACAATCAGCGTGGAAATGAGAGCACCTGTTTGAGTGGCATAGCTAGGAAAATTTCCAAAACACGTGCTGCTGTTGGTTTGCTCCTTTGCTCCCTGTCCCTTTTGGAAATAGATAGGAAAGCTCGTTCCGATAGTTAGCATCCAGATTCCCAGACACACGCACCATGCTTTCTTGCGGCCCTCACGGACGTGAGAAGACAACGGGAAGCAGACTGCTATGCAACGGTCAAAGCTAATGCACATGAGGAGGAAGATGCTGCCATACATGTTACTTAGCAGTATGAGACCGGTAAACTCACAGAATTTCTGGTCCGGATCCCCCAAACCCCCGTGGTAATAGATCCTCACTGGAAGCGTACAAACCATAAGAATATCAGCAAAGGCTAGGTGAATCATGTACACGGTGGTGTGCGACTGTGATTTAGAGTTGCGGAAAAAAATGACAAGTGCGGTGAGGTTGAGGGTCAGTCCAAATATGAAGACCACTGAATATACAGTAACAAAAACCACATTATGCTGGCGTTGTGTTGAATTCAGACATGTATAATTTGACATTGCTGATTTTAGGATTTACCTCCTTGACTAGTCTTTATCCTGTAATCCTGTAAGAAACAAAGGGTTGTGTAATGAAATGTTACAACAGGCTTATCAATCTCAAAGGAAACTTGTACCAAGATGGGATCTCACTTTTTATTTACATGCATGCAGAAGTTCTTCAAAGTATTGCAAGCATACAGTAGCTTGCGTCAGTAGGAAACTTTAAAAAAGGGTCAGAGAGTAAACCTTTCCTCCAACTCAAAGCATTTTAAAAACCAAGTGACATGAATTTGTATTTTAAAGGTCAAGTGACATGAACATCTCATAAAGTGTACAACGTGCATCTTAGATCTTGCCAGAATTCTGTACAAGGGTTATGTGAGATAAAGAATAAAAATGAAAAACTCTTTTGGTACATTTTATGCTGTTTGTAAGGTAGGTACATCCCTTGTTTTTACCGTGGAACAAAAGATGGGTTAACAAAATGTCAAAGTTGTCAAATTCAGTTGCAGTTTTCTTAGTTTATTTAAATATATGTATAGTCTAATACTTGCACACTAAATTAAAATAATACCTTTAAACTAACATGTCTTCATTTTATATATATATATATATATATATATATATATATATATATATATATATATATATATATATATATATATATATAAAGTTTCCGGACACATTTTCTCAGTCTATTATTCAATATGCCATATGCAAACAATGTTTCATATACATGCACAAGTTATTAAAAGTCAAGCCTGCCCATGTAGACAAGCCATGTAGAGAAGTCAAATGCCACTAATACACCTTTAAATATCTTTCAAATGTTTACTTTACATTTACAATATTTCAGATGTCAACAAAAATAAAACATTTCTCATTCACAGGCATTATATTGGACACATTTGATGTGAATAAATGGTTCCTTAAAACAGGTATTACATAAAACTGTCAAAGATTCCTTATTTGAAAAATGAAAACATGTGGAAAATGATTACGTAGATGTTGTAATTACACTCACTTTTTTGTTATGTCGAAGAGAGTTTCTTCGGCTGGTAGTTGGTACTGATTCAAGACGGTTCTTATGTTGCAGTCTCATCGAGGGCCTTTACTTCAGGAAATGAGTTTGCGGTGAGTGCCTGTCATTTCTGTCTTCTTTTTAAAGGGGTAATATAATGCCATTTTTGTTCAAGTTAATATGAATGTTTAGGGTCTAAATGAAAACTTTGTAATATACTTTTATTAAAAATTATCATTAGTATTTTAAGAAAACACTAATTTTACCTCATCAAAAACAGCTCTGTTTTCAGCACGCCGTTTCAGCGCATATGCCTTTAAAGGTGCTATATGTATTTTTTAGCAGCCTCTATCGGTGATGTTTCAGATTGCAACCCATTTTTACAAGAGTGCTCGTGGCGTGCTCTTGCGCGTGCTCGAAGACAAGAGCGAGCACTCATGGTACCGGCCACACTGAGACTTTCAACACACTGGAGAAAGCATCACACAACATGCTGGAAACTCATGTAAACTCCCACTGCAACGTTACAATAATAGTTTCCTATCAAGGCTATGGAACTTCGACATTACAGATGTTGTATATGGAACTCCTCTCATCCTTCACTTCCGCTGAAATCTTATAGGCTAACGCAAGCAGAGCTGGGCAATTGACGCAAAATATGCAAATACTGAAACCCGTAGTATTAATGCAAGTGCAGCGTCAATTCCCTTCAGAATCTCTCTCTTCACGCTCAAATCGTGTGCTAGAAAGCTGATACTCCACTAACAATTCTAGGATTACTCGCCGTCGTTGAAGGTGCGCCAGAGATACTTACACGGTCTCCAGCATCCGATGGCGACTGTTTGCAACCTGTGCTCGGGCCCCACCGTGCCCGCCGACATGCACCTGTTTTGTGTCGCGTGCATGGGGCTGGCCCATGCTGAGTCAGCCCTCAGGGATGGAGGGTCCTGCGACCTCTGCGCGGACATGTCCCTCCGAGCTCTCAAGGCCAGGCGGGAGGAAGCTCGCGCAGCAGCGGGGATTGGGCCTGCTGCCGCCACCGAGCCGCTGGCAGGCCCCCCCAACCGCGGAGTCGAGGTTCGACCCCCGGTGAGTTTCCCCGACCCCACCTTTCAACCCCCTCGCGAGGTCGCTGACTTCGTGTCCTTCGGGGCGAGTGAGGAGAACGACTCCATATTCCTGTCTGCCTCCGAGAACGACTGGGGTGCGGAGCAGGCCGCTCCACTGGCGGCCACGGAGCAAGAGACCCCGGCGGATACGTGGTTCCTCCAATCGAGCCGCCGTCAGGCCGCTTAGAAAAGAGGAACACCGTTTTTTCCTGATGTGCATGAGCACGTGGTGAAGTCGTGGGCGGCCCCGCAATCGGCGCGCAACCTCAATTCCACCCAGGCCATGTTTGCCTCAGTCAGCGCCCCGCCCAGGACCGGATGCCCGTAGAGGCCGAAGCGGCCAGTGGCAGGGAGCAAGAGGACGGCTCAGAGGAGCCCGTGCAGAAAACCCACCGCGTCCCCTGCGAGGCCAAAGCAATCGTCCTGACCTCTCGGGCAAGAGGAGAAGAGAGCGCCAGGTTGGCCCCGCGTCCAAGCGACTCGCTCTAGAGCACGTTCTGCGAGCGACACGTGCAGTTGTGTCGTGAATGTTGTAAATGTTGTTTCTTGTTCAATAAAGCCAGCTACTACTTCACAAACAGAGCTTTTTTCTCCTCTTGCACCACACACTGTGTTACCCGCCCTGCCCTCGAGCAGCGCAGAGTCACGGTCAATAACTATAAAGGCACCTCGTGGGGAACGCGAGGTGTCTATTCCCAGCCCTCACATAGCGGCGATGACCGCAGATTTAGATCGGCCCACACTCAGTCGTTTTCAGGCAGCGTGGGAAGCTATTCCGGGCATTTCGCCGTGGGTGTTGAATGTAATTCGGCGCGGGTACGCACTTCAGTTCAAACGCAGACCACCCCGCTTTCGCAGCGTAATTCAGTCATTAACTTTGCCCCAAAGCGCTCATGTGCTGAGGCAGGAAGTGTGCAGCTTGCTCGAGAAGAAGGCGATAGAACCGGTTCCCCCGAGCGAGCGGGAGAGCGGGTTCTACAGCCGCTACTTTGTAGTGCCGAAGAAGGGAGGGGGTCTCCGCCCTATACTGGATCTGAGACCCGTCAACAGAGCGCTTCACAAGCGTGCCTTCAGGATGACAACTCTGAAGCAAATCCTGGCGCAGATTCGCCCCGGGGATTGGTTCGCTTCAGTGGATTTAAAGGATGCTTACTTTCATATCCAGATAGTAAAGCATCACAGGCAATTCCTGAGGTTTGCGTTCGAGAATTCGGTGTACCAATATACAGTGCTTCCGTTTGGGCTAGCCCTCGCTCCCCGAACGTTTTCGAAATGCGTAGACGCGGCACTTTCACCCCTCAGATCGAGCGGGATGCGCGTCTTGAACTATCTGGACAACTGGCTGGTTCTCGCGCAGTCGAAAGAAATGCTGGTCAGCCATGTGGAAGCCCTCCTTCGACACTTGGAGATGCTCGGTTGAACGTCCAGAAAAGTGTGCTCACACCGAGTCAGACTTCCACATTCCTGGGAGTATGCTTGGATTCGGTGAGAATGAGAGCGCGCCTCTCCCCCGAGCGAGCGGAGGCTCTGAGTTCTTCTCTCGGTCTCTTCAGACCTGGCAGGCTCGTCCCCCTAAAAGAGTTTCAGAGGCTATTGGGACGGATGGCAGCGGCTTCTTCAGTGTGTCATCTGGGGCTGCTGCATATGAGACCGCTTCAACACTGGCTAAAAGCGCGCGTCCCCCCGAGTGCGTGGTACTCCGGCCACAAGAGCATTATGGTCACCCGCGGATGCGCCCGCAACCCTGGCCCCGTGGAGGAACCCAGATATCTTCAGCTCAGGTGTCCCTATGGGTATAGTGACGCGGCGCGTGGAGGTCCTGACAGACGCTTCGTCCACCGGATGGGGAGCGGTCTGCTTGGGCAAGCCCGCCACGGGTCGGTGGTCAGAGAAGCAGATGGAGTGGCACATAAATCGCTTGGAACTAAAAGCGGTCTCTCTAGCTCTCAAAGCCTTCCGACTCGGCATTGCAGAGTGTTGTTCCGGTCTCGGCAGAGTGTTGATTCGGACCGACAACACTTCCGTGGTCTCGTACATAAATCGTCAAGGCGGTGTACATTCCAGAGCCCTTTTCAAGCAGGTGGAATCCCTTCTGCTGTGCGCGGACCGTTTTTTTCTCTTGGTGAGAGCGGCTCACATCCCCGGTGTTCTAAATCGCGGGGCGGACATGCTCTCGAGGAGCGGGATTCCTCAAGGGGAATGGAGGCTTCACCCTGGGACGGTTCAGCTGATATGGAAACGTTTCGGCAGGGCGGAGGTCGACCTCTTTGCGACGAGCGAGAACGCGCATTGTCAAATGTTCTTCTCGCTGTCCCGTTCCCCCCGGGAGGTGGACGCGCTAACTGCGCGATGGCCGAAAGTCTGTCTCTATGTTTTTCCTCCGGTGAAAATTTTGCCCATGGTGTTGTGCAAAATTAGGGAGGAGAAGGCGGAGGTGACTCTGGTAGCCCCGAACTGGCCGAATCAGCCTTGGTTCGCGGATTTGGTAGAGTTACTGGCAGGGCAGGCATGGGAGATTCCGCTCAGGAAGGACCTGCTGTCTCAGGCAAGCGGAACGATCTGGCATCACAGCCCCGGACTGTGGAGCCTCCACGTGTGGCCGCTGCAGGGTCGCTGAGCGGGCGGGATGCGCTGCACTCGCGAGTTTTGAATACCATCGCGGAAGCGCGAGCCCCGTCCACTAGGCGCCTGTATGCTCTGAAGTGGGGTGTTTTCTCTAGATGGTGTCAGGATGGCGGTATGGACCCAGCGAACTGTTCTGTGTCGGTTATTCTACGCTTCCTTCAGCACAGGATGGATGAAGGGAGCCTACCATCCACTCTGAAGGTATATGTGGCCGCTATTGCCGCAGTTCACCCCCCTGTTGACGGACAGTCTATCGGCAGACATGCGTCGGTGACACGGTTCCTCAGGGGAGCTAGGAGATTATGCCCTGCACGGCCGCCTTCGGTGCCGCTGTGGGATTTAGCTTTGGTCTTGGAGGCAGAGCGCTCCGGGAATACATTTCTCGCTCGGCCGCTTTTCGACAATCGGACCAGCTGTTTCTGTGTTTTGGTGGGTGCAACAAGGGACGGGGGGTCTCTAAACAGAGGCTTGCTCACTGGATCGTGGACACTATTGTTTTGGCTTATGATTGCCTGGGGCAGGAATGCCCCTTTAACGTCAAGGCTCACTCGACTAGGGCGGTAGCCTCCTTGTGGGCCTGGACTAAGGGTATGTCTATTCAGGATTTATGTCTTGCGGCTGGCTGGTCTTCTCAGAACACGTTTGCCAGGTTTTACAAGTTGGATTTGCCCTCTGTAGCGTCGCGAGTGCTTTCGGTGAGTTGATTGTATACACAGCATTGAGGGAGCTGCTCTGCGCTTTGCTCATGAGTTGTTCTGTGTGCTTTTGTGTGTTTCTACTGTTGTCATCGCTATGCGTTGGCCTTCTCTTACTGTTGTTGTTGCCTTGTTGTTCGACAGTGCAAACTTTCCCCGGTTATACTGCTCGGGATATGTAAATTCTGGCAGTGTTTTGAAAGCTTGTGATAGGTCCCTTTGGGCCTATCAGAGGTTAGAGGTTCGCTATTGGCCAATCTCAGCCTATCAGAGGCTTGCATACTGGGGGGGCGGTCTTGGTATTGGGTCTGTTGTCAGTGGTTTGTTTTCGCTGCCACGGCGGGATTCTATACAGTTCCCATATATGACATCCGTAATGTCGAAGTTCCGTAGCCTTGATAGGGAACGTCTCCGGTTACTTACATAACCTCGGTTCTCTGAAAGGCAAGGAACGAGACATTACGCTCGCCACCGTGTTCGCTATTGATTTTAGCGTTTTTGTTCGATTCTGAAGGGAATTGACGCTGCACTTGCATCAATACTGCTACGGGTTTCAGTATTTGCATATTTTGCGTCAATTGGCCAGCTCTGCTGGCGTTAGCCTATAAGATTTCAGCGGAAGTGAAGGATGAGAGGAGTTCCATATACGACATCAGTAATGTCTCGTTCCTTGCCTTTCAGGGAACCGAGGTTACGTAAGTAACCGGAG